AACAATTGATCAATACGATTTTGATTTGTTTGTTGCATCTAGTTGAAGCTGAGCAAGACAACCTCTGTTTTCTTTGTTTTCTTTAAGAATGCTTATGGAACAGAGGAAATAACAGAATTAAAAAAATATGGGCATGTTTGTTTGTGTTGTTGCAGTGTTGTTTTGTTTTGTTTTGTTTTGTTTTTTTTCTACCATAGGGATTATAAAAATGTCGAATCTGACACGGAATATTGTGAACATCACCAGTCTCATCACATGGCATGGCATAATTGCCAGCTTGCTCTGCCCTGTGTTGCCATTGTCAGATCCTCCGCCCTATGATAGCCTTCAATACAATCACACATTATCACACCAATAAGTTCAACTCCCACTTCTGTCTTCTTCCCCTGCATCATCACGTGTAGTATAATAATGACAGTAATTGTATTTCATGAAAAATTATTCATATATATACTATTATGTAATAATATACAGAACAGTGTTGATGGGAACTGAGGTTGATTCTTCTTCTGCAAATGAATGAATCAGTATAGTTATGGTTTTCTGGAGATTTTAGGTAGCGGTTGGAGTTAAAACTAAGAGACAGAGGAAAAGAGCAGAGAGAGGGGGACAGTGACACAGGCTCATTGGTTCATTCATTGAATTCTAGTGCTGGAATTTGGACCACAAAACCATTTCTGAAAAAGGATTCAGTAGGAGCCAAAGCTAGTACTTGGGATGGCATAGCTTGGTCACAGAGAAATTCTGTTTAATGAATCTAAATTCGCCATATATGTTTCTTAGGATGTGCTTCAAAGTTGAAATCACATCTACCACTCATCTGCTCTTCAAAACTCGGTTTTAATGGAAGCAACCGACCAAACATGGTTTTGGTAGGTATCGGATATGTTTTCAAATACACACTAATTTGTCCCACTTGAAAATTTAGAAAGTACAGCCATACCTTAACCACACACGCACACACACAAAAGAGGGAAAAAAAAGTTCCAGATGGTTTCATTTTATAGAGGTTAATTCCTAGTGAGATAATTAATTTAAAAATATTAAACAAATTAGTTAAATTAATTATTTATAATGTATATGTACTTTCCTAAACGGTCATTTTTAATCATGTGCGTCATAACTACTCTTAATGAAAAGTGGGAACTTCTTACAGTCAATAGGGATACTTTGGCATAAAAATTATAAATTTAAAAGATAAAATGGATTGTGATCTTATATTTAAAATTAAATTTTATCCCAACTATTTTTATATTAAGAATTGGATGTGATATTATATTTGTCACCCTTAAATATTAGTTAAAGCATTAAGATTGTTGTAGAATTAAAATTGATTACTCTTATCAATTACACTACATTACTTCACTCCGCTGTTATATTAATTTCCGCCTTTCACGTCTTCCTTTTGGAAAAGCAGGAGCATCACATGGCTGTTTTTTCTTTTCTTGCCCCACTATTGAACAATCCTATTTGCGGTATAAATTATTCAAATTTAAATTCCTTATATATGTATACTATCTCCGGTCTTAAATATAAGAGCTAGTTAACTAATTTGAGTAGATTAAATAAATAAGTTAAGTTAGTTATTTAGGTGTTGTCATTGCTAACATATCCTTATTAATCAAGTGTATTAGCTTGAATTATTATTATTACAAAGACTAATTTGAGGGGGGAAAAAGATAAATATGGCAAACAAGGTGGATTGGTGTTTTATATTTAGGATCAAAATAAAAGTCAAACAAACTCTTATATTAAAAACCGGAGATAGTAAAAGTAAAATACAAGCCTCGCCTATGAATTTGACAGATATTTTAATTATAACATAGAAACTGTATGTTAACTTAATAAAAGTTTATTGGCTATAACTATTATTAATAAAAGAACAATCTTGAAAAAAAGGATAAATATGAGAAACAAAATGAATTGGGGTCTTATATTTGGAATCAAAATAAAAATCAAATAAGGTCTTACATTAAGAACCGAAGGTAGTATTAATTTTCAGAGAGGCAATGAGGGTAATAAAAAATTAAAACTAAATTAAAACATGACATGTATACTTTCCAAATTCAAAACATAGCAATTAAATTAACTCTATTTTGTAAGTTACTGTTTGATGTTTGATTATTAAATACTACCTCATGTTCTTAATATAAAAGCTCATTTGACTTTTATTTTGATCTTAACCCAAATCTACCTTATTTCTCATATTTATCTATTTTTTTAAAGATAGTCCTTATGATAATAGTAATTTTGGCCAATATATTTTATTAGCAAAAATATTTTAAAAAAGATAATACCTATTTATTATAAACAAATAATTAATTTTTTAATCTATTTAAAAGTTAGCTCTTATATTTAATAACTGGACGTGGTAACATTTTTTCTAAATACCTTCGTACTCATCCTTCAATGTAGTATTAGCGAGAATGGACATTTTCAATTATTGAAAAACTGTACCTCTAAAAATATTAAAATAAATTAGCAGCGAATGAGATGTAGTAATTACACAGGAATTTGTGTCGGAAACCAAATAGAAAATCATGAAACGATAAGCAATCCGAGGCGGAATCACAAACCCATCGACTGACTATCTTTCTATTTACGCATGAGCATATTAGTGTGCGTGTACGTGTCCATCCGAGTTCGTAAGAGAATTGTATCAAAATTTAATTTTTTGAAAATAAATATTACTCTTTTGGTCCTTAATAAGACTCATTTAACTAATTTAATTAACTAAGAAATTAGGTAAATATGACATGTTTTTTCCTAAAATACCATAATCAATCTTTCTTAAACTCTTTTTTCTTTTTTATTTGATTATGGTTGAGGGAATATCCCTAGGGATAATTTAGAGAAAATTGATAAATATGATAAATTAGTCTTAGAATTAAAATCAAACTCAATAATTGAGTCTTATATTGAGGATCGAAAAAATATGAAATGCCACTTCCAAATACTACCCCGCTTCCCAGTTATTATTACAAGGATCAATAAGCTAATTCATACAATCATACATACTAAGAAATTATATTCCTCCCCATAAAATAAATCTTATATTTATGATTACACTATAAAAAGAATTTTATATATGAAACCAGAGAAGTATTATTAAATGTTTCCAAAAGAATAAATTTTTTCAAACGTACTCTTATAACAAATTTTGAAGAGCTAGTAAAACGTTGTTTGCATGGGTAATAATAATTTGTAACTAGAGGTAAACTAGAAAAAATTTATTAATGACCTTGTTGACCCTTTGCAATAAGGACCATAATTTGCTCCTAGAACCTCTTATAACAAGAATTAGAAAAAGTAAATTAGTTTTTATATTCAAGACTCGAGTTAATATCCTGCAATTCAAGATTGAAGTTACTCTTTGCAATTTAATGCCATTTCTCATAAATTATGTATTCCACTGCTTAATATAAATCACTTAAAACATATTCTGACATTTTAAGAAGGTATTAAATTGACAAAATTTTGTAATTTTATTTTTATTAGAGTTCTCTTTCTCTATATATTTTCAAATTATTCTTATGTCTCTTTTTTCAATAAGATTTTAATAAGGATAAAATTTAAAAACAAGCACTGAATATATTGCAAGTAATTTATATTTAGAATCAAAATTTTTTTCTACAAGTGACTGATCTTTAAAATTGAAGTCGAAAGTATTATGAATATTAAGTCGCCTTTTTTTTTTTTAGTGAACTAAGTCTTCCTTAGTTGTTTCTTTAGTTGGATTAAAATTTTAAAAATGGATTATTTGTTAAAAATATTTAATTTTTTGTCGTGATAATATTTTTGTACGAGTATGAAATTGACAAAATTTTGTAATTTTATTTTTATTAGAGTTCTCTTTCTCTATATATTTTCAAATTATTCTTATGTCTCTTTTTTCAATAAGATTTTAATAAGGATAAAATTTAAAAACAAGCACTGAATATATTGCAAGTAATTTATATTTAGAATCAAAATTTTTTTCTACAAGTGACTGATCTTTAAAATTGAAGTAGAAAGTATTATGATATTAAGTCGCCTTTTTTTTTTTTCAAGTGAACTAAGTCTTCCTTAGTTGTTTCTTTAGTTGGATTAAAATTTTAAAAATGGATTATTTGTTAAAAATATTTAATTTTTTGTCGTGATAATATTTTTGTATGATGACTTTTTTTTGTTGTCATTGCACACCTGTAGTACTCTTTGCGGTGGCTTCATTCGAATCACAATCTCGAGAGATATTTGACGTGATTAAGCCATGAGGCTTTTACCGTTTTACGTATTTACGTAGGATGAATATATTTTGTTCTGCATGAATTTGTAAAATGAAGACATTAATCTTTCCTATATATACTACTTTCGATTCTAATTATAAGAGCTAGTTGACTAACTTGAAGAAATTAAAAAATAAATTAAATTAGTTATTTATAATAAATAAATGTTATCTTTCCTAAAATATTCTTACTAATCAAGTATATTGGTTTATAACTACCATTATGAGAAGGATTACTTTGAAAAAATATATAAATAGGAGGATAAAGTAAATTATAATTTATATTTAAGACCAAAATAAAAATTAAATAAAATTTTATATTAAGATCAGAGGTAGTACTATATACTAATATTTTTTTTTTTTAGTATATTAATAAAAAGTTGTGAATAATATAGTAATACGTAATCATCCCTTATGGACACGTGATTATTAAATAAAAAGAATCATAAAATCAAATTGAATTTAAGACATTAATGGCGGTATACACGATTCTCTCTCCCAACGCAGGCCCCTGGTGCTCCTCTCATGCTTTTTTTCCCATCTTTTTTGCTTTTCCTTTTTTCTGCTGTCTCTTTGCCTTTTCCCATTTCTCGCCATTCACTCCACACTCTCCACTCCAACCCACAGCTTGCCTTCCCAGCCCCCAAAACCCAGAAAGCCTCTCTGTTTTCTCACCTTCAAGCTTTTCCCTTTCTCTTCTGCAGCTATGTATTAGGGTTCCCGTCATTGCTAAGAGCTTGCATTTCCCAGCTTCAAAGCAACTCCTTCGTGCTTCATTTCGCTTTTCAATCAATGGCTAGGAATCTGTTTGTGTTGGTTCTTACGGTTCTGGTTTTATTGGCGGCGTCACTTCCGCAGCTTCCACTACTTCCCTGCCAGTAAGTCTGTCACCTGTGTTGTTGGCTTCTTACATTTCACTAACCTGGTGGTTTTCGAGCTAAAATTTTGTTGAACTTCGGCTTTGCATCTGTGTTTTCTTCAGAGATTGTTAGTGGATTTCTCTCGAATGCCGTGCCTGCTTTCACGAAATGGCTGTGGTCACTCAAAGCTACGACCAAAACAGGTATAGATCTAGCGCAATGCTGCTCACATTTCCTCATAACTTCTTTCTCCTCTTCTTCGTCCGGTGATTGTTGATCGTAACTGAAATGCTGATTTGATTGTTTTGTTCACTTTGCAGCGGTTTCTGGCCGGCCGATGATGAAGTTTGAAGGTGGATACACTGTTGAGACTGTGTTTGATGGAAGCAAGCTTGGAATCGAGCCTTATGCTGTTGAGCTGCTGCCCAATGGAGAGCTTCTGATTCTAGATTCAGCTAATAGTAACATTTACAGGATTTCCTCGTCCCTTTCTCTGTGTAAGTGTGCCGACTGTGATCGCTTATCATTCTGACTACTTGCTCAAGTTCACTAATTTTTTGTCACTGTCGCTGATTCTGTCAGCGATAAAACCAAACGACCTCTTTCGCTCATTTAGGGAGACTTGATGTTTGATTGATGTGATTTGAGCATAGCTAACTTCTCCTCCTCATGATCCCTTCCTTACATTGCATTCCGTTGATTAATGTCCACATATATTTAACTTACTCTGAATTTGGAATAAATTAGCTTCTGCTTTTCCGAACTTGTTCTTTCAGCCAGGACAACGCTGGCAAATTCGTATGCTTTTTTCTTTATCGTAGGTCACCGCAACACTTCTCCCGAATTTTTTGCAAATGAGTAATTCTGCAACTTGGGCGGCAGTCTTTTGTCTCTGTAATTCTGAGACTGCTATATGCAAATGCCACATAATTACTTGATAAAGTTATCTGATTAGGACCTACTATAAGCTCATTCTCACATGTTTTGTTTTTGTTTTTTGTCGCTAAAATTCTCGCATGCTTCATTCCATCAGCTTAAGTATCTAAATTCTGCAACTTTGAGGATCTTGCATTATTGCTTCACTGATTAACAGAAAAGCAATGTGTGACTGTGCTACCCCCTTCCCATTAGGAGAGAAAACCTACAATTAGGAAGGCAATGTGCATCCAAGATCGTTTCATTTACATTTCTTTCTTCCTATATATCAAATATGGCCTCATGTCTCTCTAGTTTATGCTTGAGCTTCGTGATGATGTAAAACATACCTGTAGTGTAATTCTATAGAGCTTGACTTATTGGTAAATTACTCTGGTAGAGATTTGCTTTACAATTATATTTGCTTATATCAATTCTGCAGATAGTAGACCGAAGCTGGTAGCAGGATCTGCTGAAGGATATTCTGGACATGTTGATGGGAGGGTCAGGGAGGCCAGGATGAACCACCCAAAGGGAATAACAGTTGATGATCGAGGAAATATCTATGTTGCAGATACTATGAATATGGCAATTAGGAAAATCAGCGATTCAGGTAGGCATTTGGTTGTTAATACTTGGAATAATATTTTGAACCGTTCCTAAGTATGGCTATTCATGTGATATCTATTGGACCCTTTAATTCAAAGATGGCTACCCAGATAATAATGAACATAGTTTCCTTTCTAGAAATTCTTGACAACATGCACGCACGCACGCGTCCTCTCATCAGGGTTTTTGGTTAAATAATATTAAAATTGTATGTTTTTTCAGAGTTGAGTCAGGTAAGAATTTCCTATTAAGATCTTTATTTGCAGGGGTCACAACAATTGCTGGAGGAAAATGGAGCCGTGGAGGAGGCCATGTTGATGGGCCAAGTGAAGAAGCTAAATTTTCTAATGACTTTGATGTGGTTTATGTTGGAAGTAGTTGTTCTCTTCTTGTCATAGACAGAGGAAACCAAGCCATCAGAGAGATTCAGCTCCATTTCGATGACTGTGCTTATCAATATGGAAGCGGGTTTCCACTAGGTAAACTAAATCAGCACAGGTCCTAATTCTGAGAAATTCTGGTGATCAGAAATTGAGGTTGACTCCTTTCGATGTTTTAGGGATTGCAATGCTGGTTGGGGCTGGCTTCTTTGGCTACATGTTGGCTTTGCTGCAACGAAGACTTGGTACAATTGTAGCATCCCAGGATGTGAGTTCTTTAGCTCTTGACTTTCACTTTTGGTATTATATTACATGAGGCAGTTAAGGAGCACGCAATGACCTAGTGGATGTTAAATAAGTATGATTCTTCATGTTAATACTATTGTGACTAAATTTAAATGAAATAGATCTCCAGAAATGTTTTTAAAAAATGCTGTTTCAATCTTACAATAAAACGAGTTTGTCATTCCAGTCCAGAATCATGTTACAGCTTTTAAGCGATCATTTCTTAACCATGTGATACCTTTCACAATGCCCGTATGGCATCCTAGTGCTGCAGATGTACAGTGAAGATCTAGGCCACTTTTGATATTCAGAAACTTCTAGTCAATTCTGCTTGAATATCTTCCCAAAGATGAAAAAAATGGCTGCCATTAATGATTTTATGCTTTGCTCTTGTAGGATCAAAGTCCAACAATGCCCGGAATTTCTTCTAGTCCATACAAGAAGCCCTTGAAATCTGTCAGACCTCCTTTGATTCCGTCTGAGAACGAACCTGAGAAGCAAGAGGAGGGTTTCTTTGGATCTCTGGGGAAGCTTCTTGCCAATGCTGGGGCATCAATCGTGGAGATCATGGGAGGATTATTTCCTGGTTTTAGGAAAAAACCGGCGATCTATCAATTTCAGAGCCAGCCATTGCTCCATCAGCCACAAAAGCACACAAATGCTTGGCCTGTGCAGGAAAGTTTCGTGATTCCTGATGAAGATGAGCCGCCTTCAATTGACACCAGAGCCCCGACCCCTCGAAAAACCTATCCTTTCATGTCCAAGGATGCTGAAAAAATGCAACAACTTCGGCAAAGCCGAGCTTTCTACAGTGGATGGGACGGAGATATTCAGCAGCCGCAACATCAACAATACCAGCAGCAACAGAAACATCATCATCGCCATGAATACAGGTCATCAATCCCCCATACCTATTATGAGCAAAGCAACGAGACAACAAACGAAATCGTATTTGGGGCTGTGCAGGAGCAAAAAGGGAAGAAGGAATCCGTGGTAATCAAGCCTGTGGATTATGGCGAGTCATTGTATGATCATCACAACATTCGATCTAGAATTAACTACATGGGATATCCCCCCAGGTATTGAGTATATATACATTAGGAAGTTTAAGAGTATTGTAAAGACTGAGTTCCAGCTTGATTATATAGGAGGAGGGAGGAGGTCGACATAAAGTACAGTTAGTGTAATGGGATTTTAGTAAGGAGAAGCTCATCTTCGTACTATGAATTGTTTGCTCACAGTTTTGCCAAGTAGTTGGGTCAATGGAGGGGTGTGGACAAATTGGCAATCTCTGAGGGTGGGATCAAAGAAATTTTGGGATCCTTTTTCTTCAGTGATGAAGTTGTCAAGTTCATAAATCTATGAAAGAAAATTATAATATAGTACCTAGTTTTCTTGTTTTTATTTCCATTTAACTTTGAGCTATTTATTGGTGTGTGGTGACTGAAGATACTATGCACTCCACATTATTATGATGTGGACTGGCACTGGGAGTTGTGATTTGTGAGAGTTGCAATAATTGACTATGGATTGTAATGCTAACGTGACGGCGGACCCCGGCCAGGGTGTATGAAGTCTAAATTTCCACCCCCACTCGTCTGCAAGTGGCTACAATTTTCTAAAGAAAATCGATTACGATGTGACCTGTTTGGTTCTTTCGATGTCTCTTTATTTTTCTTTTTGTGGTTGTAATGATATGACTGTGCCTCTTCCTTTATGTCTGGGTTCCACAATTATTTTTTTTTTATAAAAAAATTGTCATTGATGTAATTAACTTCTTGCTGTTTATTTCTATCAATTTCAGATTTTTTAAAATGTTTATAAAATATGAATAATTAGAATGTGAATTTTATTATTCTAAATTATATGTATACCGTATGGCACGACTTGTAAGTTTTATATTATATATATAGAGATGTTATGTATAGATTCAAGGTAAGACTTTAAAAAATTACATTCTAATTTTATACAAATTAAATAAAATATATCTATAATCTTAAGGGGAAATGACGTGATCTTAAGCTTAACTGCTCAACAAGTCCACATTTTCCGTGCAAACTGTGGTCAAAATATCTTCCTGATAGATAGATAATGTGGATAAAAGAGAGAGGGTAAATTGGATAAATCCTCCACCAGTCTACCGCACTGTCACTTTAGCATCGCTTTGTTACAGTGATGCATTCTATAAAAGAAAATCTCAATAGCAAATTAATTATTTCGTTATGTTTCAGACTTTTAGTTTCCAATAAAAAAATCTTAAAACTTTTGTAGCTTTATCTAATTTAGTAATTTACTAGTACTAACTAGCTAGCGGGAATTTTAACGTAGAATCCGAAAAATGACAACGATTCAAAATCAAGAAGTGTAACTTGTTAGAATTTTTTATTTTATATCTAGATGTGCTATTCATATACATTATTGTTACTAATAATTTTTTTGCCTGCAATTATTACTACTAATACTAATAATTACAATAATACCGTCATACTAAACAAAAACATGTTTAACTTATAGACTCGCTTTTAGAGTAAATCCAAGAGAAGTGAAAGCAATTTAACCGACAGAATTCTAAGCTGATGGTCCTAGGTGGTAAGTTTATGCACACACGTTACATAATATAGACTAGAAAGTTGAGTTATAAACAACTGCTCATCTCCTCTTCACCAAACCATAGTTACTACTCATAGACGACTCTGGCAGTAAAACTCTATCTTTTGGTGTCTCTGCAAAGCCCACGTCATCATCTTTCTCTATGTTATCAGCTCCAATGCAGTCTGCACTAATCAAATCTCTCAGTTGATTATCGTACTTGCTTGGCTCTTTTACCTCACAACTGTAGGAATCTAAATCTATCAGAGGCCTTTGCTCAATGCAAGGTCTAGGAGAAGCTGCTCTGTTTATTCTAAACATAAGAAAAAGATGAGAGAGACTCAGACTCCAGAGTTTCTTCAAGAAGCTTATAAATGAAGAGATATTACTGTTAACAGCTTCGCTTTTGATGGCGAAGCAGTGTGTCGCTACTATCTTCCCCAGATTGATTAGGGAGTTCTTCCATGTCCCCATGATCAAGACGACCCTGGAGCCTTGCTGTCTACAAAATTCATCAAGTCAAAAATTGAGACCTTTGGTGAAACATGGCCTTCAGAGATATGTTGGTCAAATAATCAGTCAAGAATATGAATATAGCAATGACAAAGCAGGTCCCACTTAAGAGTTTAGATTTTATTTATGATTCGCTTGATTTATCTATATCTTTGGATGACTTCTGCTAAGAAAGAGTTTTTCTGAAATGTTTGGACTTACACGAGAATTGATACAAGGGCGGACTGCAACAAAATAGATTACGCCCAGGCACAGGAGTCCAAGCACCACACCCAGAGTCCAAGCACGCACTGTACCAAGCCCTGAGCAAAAGAAATAATTTCAAGTATTCGTTCAAATTAAACTATAGTAGTTAGAGTTAGACAGAGGAAAGGGAAGTAAGTAAACATTTAAGCAAGACATAGTCATACAAGACTCTTAAAAAGCCCCCTAGAAGGTAAAGAAGGCAATGGATTGTTCTGAATTAGTCATCAACAATAAAGGATATATCTGCACATGAAGAAGCTCATAATTTTTCTTACGAAAAAAAAAAAAACACTTCAGAAAATATAAGCAGTGCAGGTTTGAAGTTTGGAGTAATAGGAGAATAAGGAGTACGGACAGGGTAATATAGTGTTTGGCTCAAAAGAGGGAAGGGGAGGAGAGGGGTTTTAATGGAATGGAAGGCACTTTAATATTGTCTTTTGTATTAATGAGGGGAGAGGGAAGGGGAGGGATTTTTTATGATCTGATAAGAGTGCAACAGTTACCATTCCCTCCCCCCCGGCTTGGGAATATTAAAAACTAATTACAGGCATATTAGTCACAATAAACTAAAATATTACCCTTTTCCTCCAAATCCCCCCAATTTGGGAGGGGAGGATAATGAGGGGAGAGGAGGAATTAATTACAGGCATATTAGTCACAATAAACTAAAATATTACCCTTTCCCTCCAAATCCCTCCAATTTGGGAGGGGAGGATAATGAGGGGAGAGGAGGAAAAATCTTTAAAAATTTTCCCCCACTCCTAAAAATCTTAGCAACCCAAACAAGGGGAGAGGAGCAAAATTCCTCCTACTCCCTTTCCCCTCATGCCAAACGAGACCTAAGGGAAAATGGCATCTAAGGACTCAAACTCTGCAACATTGACATTAAAGAACTTCAAAATTCGAAATTTCTTTGTAAAACCAGACGACCTAAACTTTATCCTGCAAGGAGGAAAAAAATTTCAACAGAAGTGCATCTTTAGTCTTCTAACTTTATCGAAGTTTTTAGTTTGGTCTCTTATTTGTACAAAAGTATACTTAAAATTTTAGTGTCTTGCTTTTTTTGGTTAATGAAACTATGTTAGGATTAGAGGACTAAAAGGACACTTTATAAAATTAAGGAAATCTTATGTGAAGTTGAAAGACCATAGGTACACTTTTGCCAAAGATCCCTAATAACTAGTGGAGGCGTAAATGGTTATGTTAGAAGAATGGGTGACTTCAAGAAGCAGGAGTAATAACTTCAAAAATATACAAGTGCTAATGACTTAAGTATTGGTAACAAACACGAAACACTGATAACTTTAAGAAACATAAGTAACCGTTGCTTAAACAATGAGCAGCGGCTTGATAAATACGGGAAGTAACATTCGGAAGGGTGAACAGTAATGTCAACTCCCCAAAATTACAAGAGGTATTTCCGCCCTTGCAGGGATAAATTCAGTTCCATTGGTCCTTCTGAAGATTTAAGTTTTTAAGATCCTTCAATCTGAATTACAAAGTTAAAGTCCTTAGACCTCATTTTCTCCAGAAATAAAGGAAAGCAGCATTAACTGTAATAGTATCATGAGTACAAACAAGCACCACACTGCCTAACAGGTTGTAAATGAACATTCAGGCTAAGGGTAATTTTGGTATAACACCAAACATGGTACAAATTTCAGAGGTCGCCTTTTGTTCCCCAAAACACAGGAAGAAGTGCTGGTTTAATGAGTACTCAATACGTTATTAGGATTAAAAAAATGAGCTTGTAGAAAATGTGGTAAATAGAGGTAATTCAGATCTTCTAGATTTTTTTTTAAAAAAAATGAATCTAAAGGGCAACTTCAGAGAGAGAGATAGTGAGGAAATAATGGATGAGCATAATGATGAGATGTCTACCCCACATGCAATAACATTTTTTTGTATCAATCTTCCTCCGAATGCACAAATACATGAATGGAGAAAATCCAATTTGACACAGAGGGAAATGAAAATGTGAAAAGTGAAAGGCCTTATCACACACTAGGCGAAATTTATATGCTCCAAATTTCCAAGTCTGACCTGATTGAGGAGGAGTACAGTCTTCCTTCTTCAAATTAATTTGGCGAACTAATCGATTGCCATGATCAGAAACCAGTAAAAGGCATCTGCTAGGAATGAATGCTAGCTCATAATCATCTGAAAATGTTGCATTTTGGGCTGGCCCATCTTTTCTACCTTTCTCACGTGAGAAACCCCCAGCAATTGTGGTTACCCCTAGTCATGATCCAAAAACATTAAAGGAATGCCATAAATTGCATTTGAGAACAATTATTTTTGCCAGTTTTATGCAAAGTTAATATTAGAGCTCAGAATCATTAACACCTGAGCATGTGCAAATGCTTCCAATTCCCAGAATCCCAGTGTTTGGCCTTTATTCTTCATGCCAGAGTTTATGCAAGTGCAGTTAAGTACATGATCTCTTTAGTTATATTCTTTCTTTCCCATTTATTTATGTCGCTTTTAAAAACATAGTTGCTATTTTCAAGAACGCATGCAGTCTCAATCTAATTTCCTCCCTCTTTTCATTTGTTGTGCACGTACAGATAGCAATACAAATAAAACAAGTAATGAAAGGGACAAAAGGAACTTAAATCTGCAACATAGGATGATCAATTAACAAAAGCGTAGATTGATTGGTGGAAGGTTACGCGTAAGGATACCAGAGCGGCTTATTTTTCTGATAACGCGGTTGGTCCTATCAGCAACATACACGTTCCCGTTCAAATCAGCAGCAAAGCTTCTGGGTTTGTCAAATTGAGCAGAACCTACCCCACCGTCCGAATATCCCGCTTCAGAACCAGCAAACCTTTTAACAACATTATCTGCAAGACCTCAACGGAAAACAGTCATTCCAGAACAAAAAAGGAGAAAACTTTAACACCCCCAGTTGGAGAAAGACGATACCTTGGGATGTGGGAAACTGTACGGTATAGAAAGCACTATTGACATGATCGAGAACGAGAAGATCGGACGATCCGGGAAGCTGAAGCACGGAATGAGGGTAGATGTTGAGCTTGTTACCGTCGATGACGGTGGTCACCGTGTAGCCATCTTCAAGGATGACCTCCGCCGAAACTGAACAACGGGGGGTTTTCAAAAAAAAAGAAAATTAGAAGTCTGAGAATAAAACAATCAAATTTCAAACGAAATAAATGAACTGCGGATGATGATAATTTTGATGATGTTACCGTGAAGTGAGACGATGTAGACAAGGAGACAGAGAGGAACCGTAAGAAACACACAGGAAGCCATGGAAAGCACAAAGAAAGCAGTGAGTGTCCCTTGCTAGCAGAAGCAAAGTGCACAAATAAAAAGTTGGCAAAAAAAAAAAAAAGTGCACAAATAAAAATGTGTTTTAATAGTATTATGAGCACACTTTAGCACTTTCACTGTGCATGACTTATTTGCATTGTAAACTGTGCAAATTGATTAATTGATATTAATGTGAGTAATATCAAGGAATCAAATTCGTTGGCAAAAATAATCAAAACAAAAGGATAAAGAGGCCAATGCTTCGCGCTTAAGGATGCAGGGCGGAAGACCGAATATTTGTGATATCAGAGTCAACATCAAGTTTTGTTCTGCCCATTAAAAAAGAAAAAAAAAAAAAAATCTCCGCAATCGTGCCTTTTCTTTTCCAACATTTTTCAGTAGTCGCATAAAAATTAAAAATTTTGCTAAAATTTTAGGATGCTGCAAGTATGAAGGTGTGTTTGCCATCCTTCAAAAGAAATTTAAAATTTTTTTTATATAAGTTGAGATAAATTTTTTTATGTATTTATTCTGTATTCCATAAAATTATTTTTAAAAAGCTAATTTAAACACTTTTTACTACTACAATTTGGATAGTTGAATTTGAGAAAGTTTACATGAATTGTCTATCGTCAAAAAATATAAAGTTTTATCAAATTGTTATTGGGTATTTTTGGCCAACAAAGTATTATTTGGTTTTAAAGATACAACAATAATATAAAGTAGGGATAACAAATAAGAAGATGTTGAGATCGATGCATGTTTAATCCATAAAATGTGAGATTAGTAATAAATACGTATAAAGAAGAGTTAGCCTGCATTCCAAAATTAAAAAAAAAAAAAAAGGGTTGGTCCAGTACTCCTCTAGTCATATTTATAAGGTATTTTCAACACATTTTACATAGGCCAAGAAAAATATTAAACTGTATTAACTCTTCATTAAAATATATCAAATTTTCAATTTTACATTCATTTAATACATACACCTTTAAAAAAAATAATTATCTATAATATAATAAATAAAGAATAATATAATATATTCTTGATAAAAATTTAATAAAGTTACTTATAAATAGGATAAAAAAAACTTTTTTTCTCTGTCCTATAAATAGAACAAGAGGAGTATTTAATATGGAGGAAATGATGTTGGCCAAAAAAAAATATGGAGAAAATTGAAGACACTAACGAAGAGGGTTTCACTTATCAGTTTTAAGTCACACGAGGCTGGTAAAAAAAAAAAAAGTCACGTGAGAAAAGGTCAAAAAAATCACTAATATGGAGGAAATTAAAGGCACTGGTGTGATAAAAGCTTTTGCCCTTGATATGGCACGTGTCATCACTGCTCGTTCGGACACAAGGGAATTGAATGACATATGGCTCCGTTTGGCGGGACAGTTAAAATTCCTTATAAACATATTTCACGTCAATCGAGATAAAATTTTTTTACATATTTGTTTCGTATTCTGTAAATCACTATTGAAAAGCAATTTATAAGTTACTTATAAGTTGTTCCAAACAAACAGATAATAACATGAATTGTGGAGAAAATCAAAGAAAAGGTAAAAATAAAAAATAAAAGAGAATACTTAATAAAATTATTGAACAATATATTTTGGTGAATAATATATCTAAATATTTGATTGTTAATAAAGCATGACTAAAATTGAGAATTTGTTTGCTAATACTCCTTGCTCAATTTCATAATATTGGTTCTAGAGGATGTCCAATTTCATAATAATGGCATCAGGCGCAACAAAGTACCATGCTTCGCTATAAATAAATAATCTTTTGATCCTTAATATAAAATGTAAGACCTAATTAATTAATTTGAGTAGACTAAAAATGTTAGTTGAATCGTTTAATATAATTTTTTTTTTCTGAAAACACCTTTAGCATCTTCTTTAATTTCTTTCTTTTATTTCTTATCTGATTATTGTTGGGAAATATTAGTAAGGCTAATTTGAAGGAAAAAAATAGATAAACATCTAAAATAAGTTTTATAACTTTCTAATTAGGATCTATATTAAGTATTGTAGCAGTAATAATTAGGTACGAGTTCTGCATGGTATGAGTACTCTGTTTTTTTCAGCCCTTCCCCCTCCGCAGAGTCACCGTCCTTTTTCTTCAATCCTCCGCTTTAAGACTTTATTTTGGATAGAGAAAAATAAGAAGAGAAGAATATTATCAAGGAAAAACTTTTAAATTTTAGGAGTTTTTCCCCCCTAGTATTCTGTCCTCTCTATTTCTATTCCCACTCGAAATAAGGAGAAAGGTGTAATGATATATATGCTATAATCAAATGGCAGGAAATAGAATGGAAATATGATAACGTGGTATTATTATTAGCAGTATTAAATAAGGTATGGACAATAAAGCATTATTATAAATATGAAAAAAATGACATAAAAAATAGTTGAAAATTATAATATCTCAATTCAAACACATGTACTTAAGAATTCAAAATCCTAGATGAAGAAGTGGTGTTTGATATAGTATATTGTAAATATAGTTGAATAACTAAAATGTCTTTATATCCGTGAATTTTTTTAAAAAAAAACTCTAAAATTTATCATTGCCAATATGTTTATTATCATTAGTTGTTTAACACTTATGATTGTCAGTTCACAACTTATTAATAAATAATCTGCATTATCTGTACGTTCATTTCACAATTTGTTAAAAAAATTTTTGCTACAATGACAGTTTTGTCATTTAATTATATTTACAAAATACGTGATTAGGTATCATTTCCTTTTCCTGTGATTTTAAAGCCTTAGGCATTTAAAGTGAAATATTGTAATTTTCAACTTTTTTTATACCATTCTTTTTTTTTGTAAATATTCCGTAACCCCCCCCCCTAATGTGTCATGGAAAAACAACGGAGGACTTGTTCAATATGTTTTTTCCCCTAATAAGTATACCGAGCAGACACAAGTATTACTGTATTATCATTGGTCCTGTAATCAATCAATATAAATATGTAATTCACAGGAAGTAATACTGTTTACAAATCGTGGTTAATGTAACTTAAAAAATTTATTCGTGACAATTTTATAGTATTACTTTCAATCCTTAATATAAAACTTAATTAACTGATTTGAAAAAATTAATTAAATTAAATAAATTATTTTAAAATATTATATTTATTATTATTTTTAAACTAATTCGTCTAACTTATAAATTGATAATATAATCTAATAATACGTGTACTTGTTTCAAAAAGATTATATAACATATGTTATAATTAAATAATTTTTAAGTTTTTTAAAATTAGTTAGCTGAGTATTATATTATATTAATGACTAAAAAGAGTAATATTTGGCTGCATAGGCATTAATGTGGTTTTTTTTTTAAAAGGAAAACTGTTTTTGGTGTTTGAGGGGAACGCAAAACAGGCTGGTGATCGCAAAGGTAAGTGAAGGGCGATGCCCACGTGAAAGCCATCCATAAAAATTTGTGATATTAGCAATACATAAAAATATAGGTTAAATAATCTAAAAATACCAATACACACAAGATAACAGCACAATCAAAACTAAACATTAATCACCACACAAAGTTAGTAGATAACTTAGAACCAGCATCATTCATATACTATAGTTATACAATCATGCAAATAACACAATACATCAATCCACAGCGAGTTAGGAACATCAAAACTCAAAACCAACATGCATTTTATGATGCAAAATGACAATAAAAACTAAATTATTTGCAGCATTATCAAAAGAATATAAAATATACTACTTTCAATCTTTAATATAAGAGCAAGTTGACTAATTTGAATAGATTAAGAAAATTTATTAAATTAGTTATTCGTAATAAATAGATGTTATCTTTCTTAAAATACCCTTACTAATCATGTGTATTAGTTAGAACTACAATTTAATAAAATTTTTAACATATGTAACTACTATAATGATTATTTTTTTAAAAAAATAAATATATATAAGAGATAAGATGAATTAAAATTTTATATTTAAACCTAAATTAAAAATAAAACTAGTTCTGATATTAAAAATTTACATTAGTATTGAGAGTTAGTTCACTAAAACAAGTTGCCTTTCCGGAGTCACACACGAAAAACATTCTCCGCAAGGCGAGGGACAATTCTTGAATCGCCAGTGACGGGAGAAACCGAGAAACCACAAAGCATACGTGTCAACGCAAAGAACTACAACGTTTCATGTGAGCCCTGATCACAGCCAATCAAATTCAAGTATTCAACCCATGAGCTCGCCTGTCTTGTGACAACGGATCCCGCCATTTCTGCACGCATCCAAATTACTGTGGAGAAATTGCAAATAAAAACTCCATAATATGTAAAATTACGATTCAGGATTCTCAATTTAAAAAATAGTAAATAAAGACCCAGTCCTATTTTTGTAAATATGAAATTGTGATGAAATGTCTAAAATGCCTTTCTGCCAAATGACAAGTTGACAATAAGAGATGACAATTTCAGTAAACCAAATCACAACTTGGCTAAGGGTATACCAAATAACGAGTTGATTATGAGAAATGATAAGTTCATCTTAACAAATAAAATTTCAGTAAACCAAATCATAATTTGGTTGAGGGATATTTCAAACATTTCATCTACTTTTCATATTGGCAAAAGTGAAACCAGGTCATTAATTGCTATTTTCCATATTTAAGATCCCAAATCACAAGTTTACATATTAAGGAGTCTTTATTTACAATTTTTCCAATTACTTTACATAACTATAAATGAAGATATAATTAATTTGTAAGTTATTTTTTCAACCCAAAAAAAAATAAGAGAACTAAATGGACGAGAAAAATTAGGAAAAGAAATTTTTTTAATAAACTCAATTTAAAAAATAAAAGAATAAAAGAAATAGTGTAAAAAAATGTTGATTAATTTTTAATAGTTTGGACAAGTCCTTTAATGAGAATTATGTCTTCTAATGTATGTAATTTAGTATATTAATAGTAAATTATGGATTTTCTTAACGCTTGAGGGTGTTTGGTTCATAAGAAAAATATTTTTTAAAATTGTTTTCATTCAGTTTGAGTAAAACTCCTATAAAATATTTACTTCGTATATCTTAAAATTATTTTTAGAACTATAATTTGGTTTCCATCTAAACATCTATTCAATCTAAATTTTATTTAAATATTTCATAAATTTTGTCTTTTAATTTCCAAAATAAACGCAGCCTATCTTATTTTGAGGAAAAAATTCGACATGGACTTTTATTGGAATTTATTAATATCATTTATATGTTATATTATATTATTAAAATCTAAACAAATCTTACAAGAAATAAATAATTAATTACTCGTGCATAATTTCACGGTGGTGTCACTCTGCGGGGTGGCCGGTCCTGTAAACGCCTAAAAAAAATTATTTCTTTATGCCATGAAATTCAAGTAAAAGAAAAAAAAAAAAAACAAAAAAATTCGTTGTAAGTGGGAGGAAGAAGTGCTTCTTTCCCCCGGAATTCACAGGCTCGTAAATACACATACTACGTCCCAGATCCAAATCCTCCATGCTCCTAAGCTTCGTTTTCTGTTGAACATCGCCTAAACAATTCAGATCTCGGTCTCAATATTTAGGCCGGAAATTTTCTGTCTTCAGTGGGTCTGTTCGTGATTCATCTTTTGTTCTGTTTTCTCTCACTTGGGTTGGATCCGATTTAGCTTTGAGAGAGCTTCACCACGAACCCAATCATGAATCCCTTCTCTACAGGGACGAGCTTGAGGTAAGCAATGAATACTGGTGTTCCCATTTGTTGGATCAAGTGCACAGAAAAGTAACGCACGCTTGTACATACTAAGTGTCTCATGTCTCTTTAGTAATTTGTTCTTCATGCTCAATTATAGCTAGGACTTGGATTAGATTTTTCGATTCCTGGCTGCCCATTCTCCTTTTTTGGTTAGATTGATTTCTCCTTGTGTTCAATTTTATATTGCTTCAAGTAATTGTATGGGAAACTACTGGCACATCTCTAAAGTTCTGATTTGTTGGTTGGCCTATTAGTTATGCTTTGTGATTGTGATTTCGGTTGATAGAAATGGGAGATTGGGGTAAAATGGGGTTCGCTAGACTTGGTAATATTTGCTCAGAATCCATTTAGTGTCACGCTGCCTTGTGAGATGGGGTGAGGTTTGCTTTTAGTGCCTGAATTGTCGGTTGAACTCTCCAATTGATTCTAGTTAGGGGATGATTTTATTTTCTTTCCCCTGTGAACCTTGAATGGATCACAATTCGCAACATGGTCTCATCCTTGTGAATGACGATTGATCACTTTCATCCTATAGATGTTCCTAAAGGGGAATAGAAAGGAATGCTGGAGAAATGAAAATTGGGGGAAAAAAATCCATCGGTTGCCATAAAGCCTTGTTCTTTAATTGTTGATAGCCATCTTGCTCTTGAAGTTTTTTCTATCTTCACAGTGACGGGATAGCCCCACATTTCCACACACTAGGCTCAACACAACCACTAAAGGATTTAACTGCATGATTTATTGTGGTATTTTCACCAAGATTGATGACAGGGTTCACCATGATCTACTTTCGACAGAAGCTATTATGATCTGATCTTACTTGGTTGTGTGCGGTTTTTGTCTTTTGTGTTTGCTCCTTTACTGGCATGGCAACCTCTCTTAGAAGAAAAGAAAGAAACAATGTGAGATTGAAATGGTTGCTGATGTGGCCTAGTAGATACAATCATATATTAGAGAAAAGAGCTTCGAAGGTTATTTATATACTCTCAACTTGTTAAAAGAGAATAAATAAGATGGGCTTTTATTCCTCCCTGATTATTCTTTGGAATTGTGCTCATACAAACCTAATCAAGCAATGTTACTATAATTCTACTGCCACCATTTGATTTGTCAAGGAAGTTTATTACTAAAATCAGAAACTTTGGGGGATGGAGGTTAGTGTGCACATTTATGTAAGCTAGAGGGATTCCAGTGCATGTTAGCCTTCTTCTGCATATTCTAGCATAGTGCTTTAACCTAAGCCATCAAGTTCCAAATTATAGCAAACATCGTACGCGTTACGGATCTTTCCATTATTGTTTAATTGGAAAAGAGTAAGATTATTGATGTAATGGAAATATCTCAATATTTTCAAAATGAAATCCTCACTTTACCTCTAACTTACAGAAATCTGGTTCCAATATTCCAAGCTGCTACTATACATTTTGAAAGAGCGAGCATAATATTCATGGTTATTAGAGCTCATGACTCTGATAATGTGACTTTTATCTGGCTTCTGCATCTGCTAAAGATCATTGATTACCCCATATAGTAGCACAAACAAGATGGATTTGAAACTCGCATGTCAATGCACTCCATACTTATTGTCATCAGAGTTCATTTATATGTAATTTTTCATGAAATTGAAAAACAAATGGTTAAGAATACCTAGAATACGTCATTGACATTGTCTTCCTAGAAGAGTTAATGGCATTGGAAAGTAAATCTTTTGGTATGAATTTCAATCTGGGGCATCCTAAGATTTTGGAGCTGTCTTTTCCCCTTATACTCTTGTTAGTTTTTGGGAGGGGGAGCAAGATGAAGAACTTCTCCCCATGTGCGTTTTTTCAGGTCTTTTTGGTATCTGGTTAAGCTGTTGGAGTGTAAAGATTATGAGGCTATGCCGTTTACGCATTTAGAGTTTGTATATTAGGCTTCTTTATGTTGTTCTGGTCTTGGTCTGTCCCAGAGGGTTAATTGTGATGTGTATAGAGAGAGAGATTGGAAAGCACTTTTTAATTGTTTTACTTTCTTATTTACACTGAAAGATTCTCTTGTCCTCCCCTTCTATTCCCACTTTAACTATGTGATTAAACATGGTAACAAAGAATCGGAATTTCAATTTTCAATCCTTCTACACTATCACTTTTTAGGCTTTATTTTGCTTTCTTACTTTTGTTTGTGGGTGTGTAAGTGCTTGTCTTTGCATTTTTGCATTTGACACCCTTATTCCAATATGTCCAGTGATTGCAAAATAAGCAGGCAATCAGATGTATCGGCAATTTTTCCTCATAGATGATAAATTGTCAATTTAATTTATACTGTAAAGTTTAATAATTATTTTTTAATGATCTGGCTCATTCATACTTTTAGGGACATGATTCGGGCTGTTCGTGCTTGCAAAACTGCAGCAGAAGAACGAGCTGTTGTTAGAAAAGAATGTGCTTCCATTCGTGATGCAATCAATGAAAATGATCCTGATTATCGGCATCGGAATATTGCTAAGCTGATGTTCATCCACATGCTTGGTTATCCCACACATTTTGGTCAAATGGAGTGCCTCAAGTTGATTGCATCTCCTGGATTTCCTGAGAAGAGGATAGGTTACCTTGGCCTTATGTTACTTCTTGATGAAAGACAAGAAGTTCTGATGTTGGTCACAAACTCCTTAAAACAGTATCCAGCTTCAAGTCCATTTTTCTTGTTTTTGTGCTGTCAAAAGTTATTTTCTTTCTGAAACAATGATGGGCAATAGCCACCTTAACACAGTCTTAGAGATCTTAATCACACAAATCAGTATATAGTTGGACTTGCTCTCTGTGCTTTAGGAAACATTTGTTCAGCTGAAATGGCTCGTGATCTTGCACCTGAGGTTGAGAGATTGATGCAATTTCGAGATCCAAATATTCGTAAGAAGGTGGCTTGTTCAGTTCCTTCTAAAAGTTTTTTTGTGTCTCTCATATTTTGGATTTTATATATGGATGTTGATATATTGATGCATGCTAAGGGAAGGAGAGAAGATGCCTTGATTGCTTTTTATTGCTTCAGTGATTCCTATTCATGGCTGTAACTTACAGTTCTGTACTCAAAGTGAGTACCTATAGAACTTGTCCATTTCTTTCCCCTTCAAGATGGCCTATTTCCTTGTTCCAAAGTTTGTTGTAATACGTAAGAAATTGTTTACATGAACATGATTGTTGTAATCCATAGCCGACCTCACTCAGTGATATGGAACTGCTTCTTTGTGTTGTTTTCATGGACATGGCAAGGCAGTAACCAATAAAGAATTTATAACATTTAAAATTAAATTCCATCTGGGTTTTCTGGTCCTTATAAAGTAGTAAAGTTACTGATCCACATACTTGTGGAGGTGCTATTTTTCCTGCATGGGACATTGTGTTTCACCTCTACCTTTCTCTTCTCTCTTCTAGTTTCTGGCGTGGTTTCAGAGTTTTAAAGAATGCTAAAAATAGCTTGAGTTATGAGAGTAAATGTTAAAGATGTGGTGGTTTTAGATATCACTATTTTCAATGAATGAAATGTTTGGTGTTTTGATCGTACTCATTCATCAAGTTTTTCTTTCTCTCTTTTTGTTTTTTTGAGTTGAAACACTTTGGTTTTTTATTTTTTTTTTAATTTTTGTGATGTGCATGAAATACTTGACCTCCAAAACTTGCTCATTTGACCCTAATGTTTAGTGTTTCTTCCCCTCCCATTTATTAAAATAGTAGCTTTAATTATTTGTTGTCTGAGTTTCTGACTAAACCTTTTGTGTTAAACTGCTTAATCTGTCGCTGTTCATTCTGCTGAATTGAATTTAACTGTTGTTATATAGGCAGCATTGTGCTCTATAAGAATCATAAGGAAGGTTCCAGACTTGGCAGAAAATTTTATAAATCCTGCTGCTTCCTTACTTAGGGAGAAACATCATGGAGTTTTGATCTCTGGGGTTCAGCTTTGTACAGATCTGTGTAAAGTTAGCACCGAAGCTCTTGAATATTTTAGGAAGGTAATTGGGTGTCTTTATTATAACCATTTTACCTATAGCATTGTGTATTTCTTAGTAGTCACTTTTGATTTAATTTAAGTGAACTTACCTACTGCTGACTCATCACGATAAAATATTCTGTACCACATCATCTGAATATATATTTTTCAGTCTTAGTGAGTAAAAAGGAGTCATGAATGCATGAATTTACTTCTTGGCAAGTTTTATTTGAATATTATTAACTTGTTTTCTGGAATCTGGTATTTGTAATTGATCCTGGATTGAGTATTAGTATATGTTTAACAAAAGTTGTAACGTGCTTTAACTTTTTGAAATTCTGTTTGATCTTTTATTCCTGGCTGTTATTGTGGTTTATGTAAATTACACGTTCTTTGACAGTCTTTCCTATATTCAACTAATTTAAATTTCATACTCTACTTTTGTAAGTGTTGCATGTGAAGAGCTCTTATACAAAGTATGCCTGGAATTTGTTCAGTGTTTGTGGTAACAAAAAATGTCAACCATTATTGTAGAAATGCACAGAGGGTGTGGTCAAAACTCTGAAGGATCTAGCGAACAGTCCTTATGCACCAGAGTATGACATTGCTGGCATCACCGACCCTTTTCTTCATATCAGATTGCTTAAACTGTTGCGTATGCTAGGTGAAGATGATGCTGATGCTAGTGACTCCATGAATGACATACTTGCTCAGGTTAGTTGTGTGTATGTGGTCAAAGTCTATGTGCTGCAGCAACTAATATCTATTATTTTCTATAAATGAACTGATGAGTTTTAATCAACTATTACTTATTTTGTTAATGACCATGTACTTTGGAAATTGGTGTTTATTATTTTTTAACTCGCTGATCTTATTTTCAGGTGGCTACAAAGACTGAGTCAAACAAAGTTGCAGGGAATGCCATTTTGTATGAGTGTGTTCAAACAATAATGAGCATTGAAGATAATGGCGGCTTACGTGTGCTTGCCATCAATATCCTGGGAAGATTCTTGTCAAATCGTGATAACAATATCAGGTATTTTAGGACTTTATGCTTTGAGATTCCACCCCATTACCATGTAAAATTTAATGCTTCCCATTTTCTCCCTATAGATATGTGGCATTAAACATGCTGATGAAGGCAGTCATGGTTGATGCTCAGGCAGTGCAAAGGCATCGGGTGACAATTTTGGAATGTGTCAAGGTATGAGTTGCATGGCTTGTTCCTTTCCTCATTGTATAACAAGGCTGTCTATTGCGCAGTGAGATTGAAAGATATTGTTTTATAGCTTGAGATTTGAGAAGTTGGTGACCTGAATTTTTGCTTCAGGATGCAGATGCTTCTATTCGGAGAAGAGCCCTTGATCTTGTTTATGTGCTGGTGAATGAAAGTAATGTAAAACCTTTAACGAAAGAGCTAATAGATTATCTTGAAGTCAGTGATCAAGATTTCAAGGGGGACCTTACTGCCAAAATTTGCTCTATAGTTGCAAAGTGAGTCATGATTCTGAATGAATCCTCCTGTCTGGAGTGTTTATAATTAATGCAGCTAAGAATTTTCAATTTAAGATGTTCAGTACCCTACAGAGACCAGTTAATTCCTTAAGAAGCTTAATTTACAACTTTTCATTTGGAAGTCATTTTCAAGTTGGCCTTATCCTTCATTTTTATCAATTTAGATAGGACTGTTGCTCCTAGAGATTCTATAAATTGCATGTATGAGATGTCTTTTATTGACTAACACTAGCCCATTGGTGAGGGAAAATCCTGTGTGTAGGGCAGCTGTAATCATCTTAGCTATTGTGTTTGTGTAGTTATTTCAATCCCTTCCTTGACGGTTAATTGTTGTAATCTTAATATAGGCAGTAATTATGGTTATTCCCTAGTTCTGGGGATTATATTTTATTTATTTCAATTAGATAATGTCCTCGTATAGCTTCTTTTTGCCCTACATACAGAGGGCAACACGTTTCTTTGATCAATGCAATATGATTGACTTTTTGTGAATTGGTGCTTCAGGTTTTCCCCAGAGAAGATATGGTACATTGATCAGATGCTCAAGGTTCTGTCTGAGGTACAATTATAGTACATAAGCTTTCTAGTAAATTTAAGCATTCAAGGGAAACTCCTAAGTCCTACCCCGTGGTCTTACACTAGTTATTTTAGGATATGTGTACTTTCAGTCATGCTTTCTTTGTGGCAGTTTCATTTCTTCTTAATTTATCTTTATTTGGCTCTCATCCATGGAAAAATGAGTACCGTAGCAGCGTATTATCTTTTGCCATTGCATGGATTTATATTGTAGCTTGTTTGGCCAATTTTTATAGGAGAACAAGCTGGCTGTTTATTTATTTTTTCGAAAAAGTACTTTTTTTTTTTGGTTAAATGAGGTGTTTGGTGCGTAGCATAATCAGATTTTCTTTGCGAGGAGGAGGTAGAAAATTGAAATTTCTCCTTTGAAGCAGAGGTTGATGGAGAAAATTATTTTGTACCCCCACTCAATCATTAATTACAATAATTAACTCTAACCCTTTTCTGCCTATCTTCTTTAACACATGCCCTTTTTAGTAATTTGACAGCAAAAGCACGTTTTTGAAAGATTCACCAAATGCCATGAGTTTGTTAAAAATGCTTATCAAATGATTTTGCCAAATAGAAATTGTTTCTTTCTCACAATGCTTGTAGAACACCTATCGGAAAAATCAAGGTGGTTTCAAAATGAGCAGTGATCCACAGCTATCTCAACCAGACCATTTATAATGCTATGACTTCCTGATTATGTGATTAACGTATCAATGCCCAAACTGCATCCTATATATGATTTCATGAATATTTATCACTTGTTTGCAACTTCTATTTAGCAGTCACAATCATGAGTCATCACTAAATTTGTTGTGGTATTGAAATAATCTTTTTTATGTCTGCGTTTATCTTGGGATTTTTCATTTAACTCCATTGAGTGCAAGTATTGATCTTTATGCAATGTTAGTAGGCTGGAAATTTTGTGAAAGATGAAACATGGCATGCCTTCATTGTGGTGATAAGCAATGCTTCTGAACTTCAAGGATATACAGTAAGGGCATTATACAGGGCAATCCAGACATCAACTGAACAGGTGCCTGCTTCTATTTGGATGAAATCTATGCCTGCTGTTGGTTCTTTCCTTAATCCATTGAATAATAATATTGCCTGGTGTTTTTCATCAGGAAAGTTTTGTCCGAGTTGCGGTATGGTGCATTGGAGAATATGGTGAAATGTTAGTCAATAATATCGAAATGCTTGACATAGAAGATCCCATGACTGTGAGTTGCTATCAGCTTGAAAATTTTCTTTTTAGCTGTCTACTGTTTCTTCATATTGCCAGAAAATGATTAATCACTTGATGATGAGCAACAGATAATGTCTATGTTTGGTCATCGAAGCTACTTGTAAAAGATATTCTAACAATATCATTTCCTAGAGGCTTATTTATGTGATTCTGATTAGAGGGTCGATAACTGTGTCATGAAGCAATGAAATCCTTGTTCTCTGTCCATGGTTGCAGCTGACATAATTTCTTTTTTGTTACTTTAGATATATTTTTTTATAACTTATGGAAGAAATTGCAGTAAGTTCTGGAATATTTTTTGCTTGATTGATAAGGATCGGGAACATACTGCAAGATACTGGTCCAAGCCACCAGCCTTTTTTTTTGTCCGGTTGACAAAGCCACCAGCTAATTTGATGCAATCTGGGCCATAATATGTACTCAGTGCCAAAACCATAGTTACAGGATCTCGGCTTGTTTCTTTCTTTTAGAATTCTTATTGCTTACTTTGATTCTTTTTATTATAATTAGCCAATACCCATCATCTGTGTTCCTTTTATTGTCAGAGAATCTGCTATGCGTGGAAAAACTGAAAACTGTTGTTGCTTCTAATACAATCTCTTTGTGCTTTGCTGCACAAAGGATAGCACTTCTAAAAGAATCTGTTTTTAATTCATTTTTTTCTTTGGTAGAGTTCAATTCATCTTTTTATTTATTCTCTTTTTTAAAATTGCTTATTTCATGCAAGCAGGTGACTGAATCAGATGCCGTTGATGTTGTTGAAATTGCTATAAAACGCCACTCATCAGATCTTACCACAAAAGCAATGGCTTTGGTTGCACTTTTGAAACTCTCTTCACGCTTCCCATCTTGTTCAGAGTATGTTCTGATTTTCTGATTGTTTTTTAAGTATCTATTACATTATAGCTCTGAGTGAATTTATTTTTACTTTTCCTGTCTTTGTTTATTAGGGATGTAATTCAATTATTAAAGGGATAATATAATTGTTGATCCTTAGAGTTTATGCTCATTTTGGTTTTAGCCCCTAATTTTAAACCATCACTTTTGGTCCCTTAAGTTTACTCTGTTAAAAACTGTTAGCCCCTATAGATTGAAGAGGGTGTTAAGTCTGCTTAGGTGTCACTAATGCCATTAAGTTTGTGCTGACCGGTCAAGATGAGGCAGAAAAATAAATGAGTCAGCCCATGCAGACCTGTGCCTATGGGGGGGGGGGACAATGATTGATGGCATCGCTGCTCCTCCTGTTGAGAAGACCACCGAGCTCCAGCTTTGCTCAATGAAGAAGATGATGCAGAACAATGGCTCTCTCCTCTCTTCCTCTCAGCTTCAGCGTCACTAGTTCCCCAGTGAAGATAATGATGAATAGTTTCTTTTCTCCCTCTTGATCTGGACGCTGACTCATTTATTTTTCCACCTCAGCTCACCCCGTCAGCACAAATTTAACCGCATTAGTGACATCTAAGCAGACTTAACACCATTAATACTGGGACCAAGTCTTTTTCAGTCTATAGGACTAACGGTTTTTAATGGAGTAAATTCAAGGGACCAAAAGTAATGGTTCCAAACTTAAAGGACTAAAACTAAAATGAATGCAAACTCTTATATTATCTCATTATTAAATATAATCAGTGTTATAGTAGAAGTTGACTAAATGTGGTTCAATATTTTGAAACATCTGCTACAAGTGTCATCGCTCTATCACAAATTATGGAGTATTAGTTTTTGTTCTATTTGATTTAGCCACACCAATTACTTGGACACCTATTAGAACCTTAGTTACACCTGCATCTGTATAATTTCAAATGAAAATAGATCTCTTTAAATCATGTGTGTAGGAGGATCAGGGAAATAATTATTCAATACAAAGGAAACTTTGTGCTTGAATTGCAGCAAAGATCTTTAGAGTTCAATTCAATTATTGGGAAGCATCAGAATATTAGGTGAGTTTATTTTTTAATCATAGTATTTAGAACTTGAATTCTGACTTCCTTATCTCACTTTGGCAAAGGATACCTGCATATGTGAAAATATTTGTCATCATGCAGGTCTGCACTTGTTGAAAGGATGCCAGTCTTGGATGAGGCAACCTTCGTTGGTAGGGAGCTGGCTCATTACCAGACGCAGCATCAACTCCAGCAAGACCAGCAGTTAGTCTTCCAAATGGAGTTTCCAAACCTTCAGCATCTCCTCTTGTAGATCTGCTTGATCTAAGTTCAGATGATGCTCCTGCACCTAGCTCTTCTGGCAGTGATATTCTTCAGGACCTTCTTGGTGTTGATTTGTCACCGGCTCCACAACAGGCTGGTATGTCTAAGTGGTACTTGTTACATATTATTTAAATTATAATTATAATAGATACTACATGAGGAGGATGATATCTTTATCCATTAGTTCTTTCCTGTGGATTACAAGTATAATTAGCAGTAGCATATTTCTAAAGGCCTTTTCATGTTTCCTACCTCCTGGCCTATTCTTGACCATTTAATTACAATTTGGAAATCCTTGCACCTCTGTTGTAATTAATGTAATAGAGAGGGTTTACATATTGTTCTACTTGCACCGGGGATTAGCCATAAGATTGCTACTCAAATCAGCCCACTTACTTTGGATTAGAGTATTTAAGGAGAAAAGATGGAGAGACAGAGGGGATTGGAAGGTTAAGTTTGTTTCTTTTGTGATTAATTTTAGAGATATTATTAATAAAATAATATCTGGGCTTTTATGCTTCATGCTAAGACTTGAGCATTTTGATTGATTAGGGTTCTTGACAATCAATGACCCTGTTAGATAGCAAGACAGACACGTCTGACCTTTACCCCCTATTTCAGGTGCTGGTCAAGCTCCGAAAAGTGGCACTGACGTTCTTTTGGATCTTTTGTCCATTGGATCACCAACTGCTCAAAGCAGCTCATCTACAATGGACATGCTATCTGCTAGTACGAATGGCAAAGCACCAGTTTCACCATTGGATGATCTCTCATCTCTTTCCCTTTCTGCAAGAGCAACTTCAAATGCTGGAGCTGCTCCGGTGATGGATTTGTTGGATGGTTTTGCCCTCAACCCACCAAAACATGGTAACCTTTATGACATTTGGGCGTTTTGCTTAATTGTAATGAAGTCACGGGACTGAGTTTCCTTGTCACTTTCTTTTGAATAGAGGACAAAGGACCAGATTATCCATCTGTAACTGCACACGAGAGCGGCTCCTTGAAGATGACATTCAGTTTTTCAAAACAACCAGAAAACCCACAAACAACGATCATCCAGGCTACCTTTACCAATTTGTCATCTAACGCATATACAGATTTTGTTTTCCAGGCAGCAGTTCCAAAGGTATGCCTTCCCCCCCCCCCCGGTCCAGCCGAAGGCATGCCGTGCAGTATGCTGTTGGAGCGATGTGCATCATATACATTGCTAACATCATCATCATCATTATTAGTGTGGTAAATTGAGATTCAGACAATATATATAGAGAGAGAGAGAGGGAGAGAGAGAGCTCAACTACTTGATGAAACACAGCTTAAAGGCATTATTTTTAGATGGACTTGAATAAGTTGTGTTTATAGCTATCAGTGGCCATGATTAATTTCCTCCATCAGCCTATTTGGTCTCTCAAGCTGTTGTTAGTTACCTGTATTTCTACCGTTTAATAATGATCAACAGTTGTACCTGATGCCAAGTTTCAAGCCCAAATTCTTCTGATTTCTTTTTTCTATAGTACTTTTCATCATGCAGGATACTTATATGTTTTAATTCTTTGATTTTCAGTTTCTTCAGTTGCACTTAGAACCAGCTAGCAGCAATACTCTCCCTGCTAGTGGTAATGGATCCATCACACAAAATTTGAGAGTTACTAATAGCCAGCACGGAAAGGTATCTGAAATGTATTTTTCCTTGTGCATGGTCATCATGCATAGGTGTTGTTAAATCTCATTTGTTGGTTCTTTGCTGCCACATTATCTTCTGGTCATCTGGTTTTGTTTCACTTTTTCTATGCTTATCGTGCTTTGCTGGTGTTATTCAATTATGTATGTGCTTATTTAAACTTGAAAAGGATCGTTGATCCAGTTATGCTTACTGGTAATTCAAGAGAAACATAGCTTTGCTTGCGTAGTACAAAAACAAATTGCATATATAATAATCAGGGGCTAGCAGAATCTCCTCTTAAAATTAAGCTGTCCAATCACATGGCTGTCATCCTTGTCGCTTACAATTTTCAAACCTATCAATATATGTTCACAATGATTGTGGCCATCACAAAAACCCCGGAAAGTGCTACCAAATAGTACACACAATCACCAGCTAATTAATGGAGCCGGCCTGTATCACAATGATTGCTGCACAGTGCATATTTTGTCATCCATGGTCTTAGTTTGAGAGTAAGATATCTTCTTTGGGATCATGACTGATAAGGATGGTGGATGCTACATATGTATTATTTATCCACACCTGTATATTAAGCGCCTTCTTGACAATACATCTGATCCATTTGTCTGAGAAGTGAAAAGTATGTGAACATATCAGTAGTTGGTGTGCGTACTGATTTTCGATACTATATGTCACAATAACGTATACTAAAATGGTTGGTTTACATTGTTTCATTTTGTTTTCTATGTAGTACTTTTGTTCAACGAAGTTAAAGTTGTCATCAATTATGGGTACTGTACAGGGCAAATGCTTCTGGCATGTTACGTAATGTGGCTTTTGATTTGTGTTTTGGATTTTATTAAGCTGGCGTGGCTTTGTAGGTGGTTCATAAAATTTCACTGAGGGGTGGGCACAGTTCAGTTACGGAATTCAAAATCAATTTTTTTTGGGGTTAAAAAATCATTTGTTTGTGTAAATAAATGCCTGGAGAGACTCAAATTCAGTTAGACGTTAGAAGAATTTTCTTATTTGACCTAGTTATCGTGTTCTCATATCATATGCACGCGTGTCTGTGTGTCTAAGTGCTACTTAGAGAAGAACTGATCACTAAGAAATTACTCTTTTCAGAAATCTCTTGTGATGCGCATAAGGATAGCATACAAGGTCGATGGCCAGGCTAAGCTGGAGGAAGGACAAGTCAGTAATTTCCCCCGTGGCTTATGAAGCAACCTGGTCATTGATGTTTATGGAGATTCGCAAGGCCCTTGACTTTTTCAGCATTCGACGCTCACTGGTGCATTTTTGTGTTCTTTCTTCGAATGAGGGAGGTATGGCTTGGGCAACGGGACCACATTTTGCCTCATTTTTGAAGTCTGTTTAATGGCTTGACGGGCTTCACATCTTTACTATCCCTTACTTTCTTTTTTGGCCTTCCATCTTCCTTAGGTGATTTGTGTACATTAGTACAATTTGTTCCTGTATGAAAATGTGGAAATCAAATTTTGCCTTTTGGGGCACAGAGAAGAGTTCATCATGTGTCACATTGAGAACTTGTGCTTTCCACTATTTTTTTCTCGATGGTCATCATGCTGTCTGAGGTTATAGCGCTGTTGAATGCAAAGGCACTGGAAGACTGTTATGTTATTATATATGATTTGATTTGTTGTAACATTTTCCCCCGCGACATCAGTAAAATTTAGTCTCATTATGTTACCGGCTTTTCTGCTCGATCTGTGACAGTAGACAGTATCTTTTTCTCCCATCATTTCAAAATTGACTATTCATCCATTTATTTAAGGAGTGGGCTCATAACTTGTAAAATTGTGAAAAAGCTTTTAAGCATAAGTATGTGTTATGGCTCTTGTGGGTTTTTGAATCCGTTTCATGTAATTTTTTTTTACAAAAAAAAAAAGAGAATGAGGATAATGTTTTCCTTATTAGATTTGTTGTAAGATTCTCATTCTGTCCAGGAACTTGAAAATTTAAAAGAGAGAAAAAATTCAAACTAAATGTAATGATATTCGTAACCGACATTCAATAGAACAGATTAAACTGAGTAGTAAAACGTGTTAGTTTATTTTTTTTATTTTTTTCACCATGAATAAATTTCAACATATGATATTGCAAGATAGAAATAAAAAAGGGAAAAAATTATGCATTTATTTCACTCACATCATTCTCTTTTACAATATTTATTGCAAAACTGTTACGGTGAAGAATTCAAAATCGACCACTATTTTAAATGGTTTCTGCTTGCTATCTCATTGTCCTATGCCTAAGACCAAGACCGTTTAGGAGTACCACATGGGGGGCTATAAATTCCATTAAAAATAAAAATAAAAAATTTACAGATCCAAGGTGAATTATAACATGACCAAGACTAATCAATGGTATGGGAGTCTAATGTAATGAGCTGGCAGGCAGCTTGGGTGGTAAGAGGGGAGATGATTGTAGTTGTTGAGTTAGTAACATATGTTAGGCTACCAGAAAGATTGCTGACACATAAAGTCTCATTATTATATAGCAACAACGTGATCTTGCTGAGTTAATACTTTACCAAATCAGTGCTGTCATCCAACCCTAATTCACTCAACTGCCCCCTTTAATTTATGTTTAACCACCTCTTTGCTCTTAATCGCCCTTAATCATTAGTTTATATTTTGACTTTTCCCCATCTATCTATTTTGAAACAAAAATTTTATATGTAATATAAAATTTACAAGTAATATTCATAGAAAATAGGTTACAGATACTCTTCCTATCGTTAATATAGGACCTAATTGTTAAGTTAATTTTGGTCCTAGATATAAGACATATTTTTCATATTTATCAATTTTTTCTAGATTATCCTTGTGAATACTTTCTCAACCATAATCAAATAAAGAATGGAGAGGGATATTAAGAAAGATGATTACGGTGTTTTAGGAAAAATATGTCATATTTTTTATAATTAACTAACTTACCTAACTTTCTTAATTTAATTAAATTAGTTAAATAAGTTTTATATTAAGTACAACAAAAGTACATGTATAGTGATATACACTTGAGTGAAGACTATTTTTCTTCTGTCTTTGAATCTCTTGCTACAATATACGTAGAGTTGATAATACAACAAACCTGTAAATTAGTTTAATATACCTTTTCTGATAGGAAAAATCAAAAAAAAAGAATTAGAAAATTGCATACAAGAACGGTTCATAAAAGTTGTTGTCAAAACCTATACTAATGTTATGATGATTTTTAATTTTTCCAATTCCACGGTTTTTTTTGGGTGATTTTTCCGTTCAGATATTGGTCGGCTTGATTAAAAAGAAAAGAAAAGAACAAGAAGTTGATGATACCATTTTAGAGATTAGACAATCTTTCCAAAAGAAAAAGATAATAGAGGTGTGTATATCTGGCATGTTGTGTATGGAAGATAAGCAACTACCTGCTGGAATAAACAAAGATTATCTTTAGGAGTTATGGATCCTAAGCTTTGTCTGTCCTTTTGGAGAGAAGCAGCCCGTGTTCAATCATCACAAACTCCACAACCTTCTCATCTTCCTGCTTCCCTTCTACCTTCACAACAGTTTCTTCACTTTGATGTAATTCCCCCATGATTCACAACAATACTACTGCCATATACTAGTACCTTTAAAAAAAAAAAAGGTTTCCGAAATCTAAAAATATACTGTTATATACTAGTACCTTTTTAGTTTTTGAAGTTTGATGGTCCATAAATTGTATATCTTTTGTATTTATCTAAAAAATTTCTTATCTTTGAAATAGTGTTTTTGGTCCTTGAAACAAGGTTTTAGAGGCGAAAACCACCGCTTTTAAATTTCAGAAATTAAAATTAAAATTAAATTAAATTTTAACAATTAAAGATAATATTAACCCTAAAAAAATTTCAGATGTATTATACATCAAATATACATGTTTTTTTTATTATTTTACAAAATTTAAAATAAATAACATTACTCATAACTAATGAACAATGTGATTTCTTTATATACAAATATTGCGATTTTATATAGATGCCGCAGGGATACATTGTTACTAATGATTTGGACTTTACATTGACGCAGTAGTCAAATATAACGCAATTTTAAAAATGGCTATTAAAAAAAAAATTAAGATCTGCGACTCAGCTGTCTCATTATGTTTTGGTAACGATGATAAAAAAAGTCAAATTTATACTATAGACGAAAAAGAATTTGAATTCATTTGCACCATCATATTCAGATCTGTGAGCTAAATGCCCACTAATACGGCTTTAAAATACAATTCAATATTTCAAAATGTATGACTAACCACATGTTAGTTTGTTTCATCTCCTAATCATGTTACCTTCCCACAAACACGCCTTCAAATGCTTTAATTAACCAAAATATTGAATACTATAGCTCGGCCTTGTACCTGTTGCTGTTAGCCAGGGTAATTATTACTCCCTTCAATTTAAATATAAGACCCATTTACACTACAAAATAGGTTTTATATTTAGGACCGGAGGAGTATATAGCAAGTAATCATCACATCTAGAGACCTGAAATACATACAGTTAACTTAATCTTTCACTATGGCGTTGGCTCCCACCGTATTGGTATACTTTACAGATTTGTAACGACCCATGGGAGTGTAAGAAATTCAGATTCTTAAGGACCAAATTGAATATTTTATGACCAGAATCATAATCAGGCATTAAGAGAGAAAGAGAGAGTAATATGAAAATATGACTGCATATCAAATTCCCTGATCTTTTAGCTTATCTTCTCTTTTCAGGCTCTGTTAATAAGTTATAGACTGTTACTTCAATAGTGACATTTTATTATCAGTTTGGTAGCAAAAACAGTGAGCGATAATATTTCACGATGAGGAACTTCATTTCCAAATTCTTATATGGTAGCCTTATTTCTCTGATGTTATGTCATGTATGGTAAAAGAAAGTTTTCCAAAGAGAAACGTAGCAATGCCGTAATAATGAGACTGGGAGCGCTCTCGCAGGACCCCACCATCCACCAGCCGATTCATCATCATCATGTCAAGACACTGACCAGAGTCCTCATCAGAAAACTCCTACACGCCCGCTTTTTACCCTTCTCGTTTTCTAGCTTCCTAAACGCTATCCCATCAACAAAGGAAAAGACAGATTCAATAGAGTGTCATAAGCAAGATAGGAGAAGTAATGGAGGAGATGGACTATGGAATCCCTCATTGTTTCTTTTACTTTTTCTTCTTTTTAACCTGAAAGTGGGAAAAAGCCAATCTCCACAGAATTCCAAAGCATCCAAAATAACGAAAAGCAGCCCTGATTTGACCTTCCTTTAATCTTCGTACTCATTACTCAGAAGTTGCAAATAAGAACCACTTTAGTCACTAAAACGAAACTCACATGGCATCACGGGGCCACCTTCTTTAGTTATTAAGCTCAAAATCATCTGGTGCAAAACTACATAACTTTTCCTTTTTCTCTTTTTTGCTTATAGCTTCTGCAAAGTATATGTCTTTCCCAGAAATACATGCGATAAGAAAGAGCAGAACAGGTTCTGATTCTGGTCACATTGTAACGAAATTACCAAATAGCAGAAATTATACAGTACAAGCTACAAATCGTGCTATACTTTGTTTGAAAAGGAGGCTTTGCCTATCTGACACTACATTATAATTCTCACTCAAAGGTTATAGCTCACCTAATGTTTGAAGCACTGACCATGATCAACAAGGTTATTACCAGACACCAGTAAAGAAATTTAACTAAAATGTGAGAGAAAGCCGGAACTCAACAAATAGATTTATTGATATATAAGTGATCAAAATACAAAGTATTGAGTGGTAGCCTCATGTACCTCTAGTTCTATTCATCCAAGGCAAATTTGGAGTGACATTAGTAGAATTTCCCATATGGGTTATTGAAGAACCTGGTAATTTATCCTTCTTAGACCATAACCAGATCTTGGAAACAGAAAAGCTTTCCCCTTTCCTCGCAATGTTGAGTTTTTTGCCCTCAAAGTCAGAATCAGCGGAAGGATTATTCCCATTCTGAGCTACTCGCACTCTCAACTGTCTCATACTGCCACTACTCACATCACCCCTACTGGGGCATAAAGCTACTCTTAAATCTGAATCAGCAACCACGTACTGGAAAGACCCCATTGAATAGCATCTCCTTGCATCCAAATTACTACTACTAGCACTGCTTTCTCCTTCACTTTTTTCTACTTCTTGTCTGGTATTTGAGCTTCTGAATTTTCCAAGTCTGACAGAAAACACCCTTCTTCCGCTCATAATGTGATTTTCTGCATGTTTGTGAACAGAAGCAGCGTCACCTGCAACAGTGCCTGTCGAAACCCCGTCTTCTTCCCTTGGGTCTTCAAAGTCAAAAGCCGTGTTTTCAAAGGGAAATCCTGGTGTATACAGAGTCCCTCTACAGAGAGGACAGGTTGAATTAGACAACAACCAGGTGTCTATACAGTCAATGTGAAAAGCATGGTTGCACATGGGCAGCAACCTCAACTTGTCATGATCTGAGAATTCGCAAAGGCAAACGGCACAATCAAATGGCTCTTTCAAGCCTATTATCTCCTTATAAAAGAAGACAGGAAGAGCGTCTATGAAAGCCTGATCCAGCCCTGAATCATGAAGATGAAACAGCTGCTGTAACTGCCTCTGGTAAGCATCTGATTCAGACATATCCGGGTATCTATTGGATTGAGAAATTGATGAGGAAGACCTGTTCTTTATGAGAAATCTAACAAGCAAGTGAAGGAGACCCGAAATGAAAAACACAATAGCTAGAACAACTATGATAAACAGCACTGCTGGACTTATTTTGTTCCCAGATGAAGAAACTGGAGATGGGCTTATTTGCTTCTGGAAGTTAGAAATGTAAGGCAAAGGAGAAGAAGGAGATGGAGAAAGAATAGGCTGGCCAGCCATGTCACCATTATTCTGCAGAATTTGAGAGTGAACCCAAGACATTGCAGAATATGGCATTCAAATTACAACCTGTCAATTTTGAATTTCAAAGCAGAGCGTCACCTGTCTTGCTTCATTTGGGAATCACCCCCTCGTACATTGTGGGAAACAAGCAGTACCCACATTATTTCAAGAACCTCAGAGAAACCCAAAGGATGATTTCACAGAAAAGAAATATCCAATTACAGTCAAAATCCTCTCTTCCAGTGTGATAAAGCTCAAGATTCGAGTGAAACAATAGGATTTAAAGGAAGCCGGAGTTTCATGGCCTAAACATAAAAGAAAGTGGGGGTTTCAGAAACGTCAAGGTTGAGGTTGACCTACCTCAATTTGATGAAATCTCGGGTACTAATCAGGTATTGGTTGAACCCACCTGGGAATGGGATGGTCCTCTCCGTGTATTAGTGTTTTCTGTGAAAGAAACCCTAAGCACTCAAGTTATGGATTTTTTTTTTTCCCAATACTCTCTTTCTAAATGAACTGAAAAGTGAAGAGGAGAGCCACAGGTAAAAGCGTAAAGCTTCCAAAATCCAAGCTCGTAGGTCCCTCCAGCCCCAGAAGAAGCAACATGTCAAGGGCAAATCACCCAGAAAGACCCAAACTTTGAAACTTCAAATTTAAAAATTAAAACAAAAACAATTATATCGTTAAAAAAATGACTTCCTCTTATTATAAATATAAATATAACACCTATTTTACAGTTAAAATTACATTACAAAATGAGTCTTATATTGAGAACCGAAAGAGTATTACTTAAAATTATCATTACTTCAAATCAATTTAGTAAGTGAAAATATTGAGAAAATAAAAGTTTTTCTTTGTTGTTTCAAAAATGGTAGTGCCAAAATTGTCATTTGGACAACAAAAAAAAAGCTGGCCCTAAAGCTTAGCACGTGTCACTTTTTGTTAATTAAGGGAGTCGGAGACTGGTCTCACTCTTACATCCTGATTTTTTTTTTGGCCTTACAAGATGTTCTTTTCCTTTTGTCATATCTTTTGTTTTATTTAAAAAAAAATTATCAGCAAGTAAAGTTGTTGAATCATCTAAAGAAAAGAGTCCCAATTGTTTAATTTTTCTTTTCTCAAGACAAGTTGGATTGTGCTAGTTCCGAGATTTTTCCCATGTTCAATCAATTCATATTTTGGATGGAAAATAAATTGAAAAGAAAAATCGTTTTAGTTTGAAAAATTTAAGCCCCAAAAAGGTCAATTGGATTATTGACAATTTACCTAATCACCGACACTTGAATTATTAGATATACTGGTAGTCATTGACTTATCAATGAGTCAATGAATCTCAGTTATTTGTATTTTAAAAAAAAAACTTGAAGAAAATATATTTTATTATCATATTAAATTTATGCATGGTCAAAATTAATTAAAGATAAATTATTATATAAATTATTTTAATATGTTTTATTTATTCATAAAATTCAAACACTTGATTTTATTTGAGGGAAAAAAACATAATCTTTGTTCATTTTGCGGATAAAATTACTGTTCCATACGGATGAATATGTTCAAAGCTTCTAGTCTGATTTTAATATTTTAACTGCTATTTTCTGTTTTGTTTTGTTTTTGTTTTGTTTTTGAATATGATAAGAGAAGCGACAATGGCTCACAAAGGACATATTAGAAAGGACAAAAGCAAAATCTTGTAACTTTCACTGCCACGCTGTTTCCACTAATAGCTTTCAAATGTGTCACCAAAAAAAAAACTAATAACTTTTAAATGTTTTTAATTCTTACTAGAATAAAAATAAGATAGAGTTCGTTTAGTAATGCTTAGGTAGCTGGACATAAAGTAGTAAGAGATAAAAAGAAGTGAGAATCTCTGGCCTTGGAAAATCTGTTCAGACTAGCTGGTTGTGTCTCTGTGAACAATAATAAAGACTTTTTTTTTTTGGCCAGAATAATAAAGACAATTAATTGTATATTCAAAATATTAAGGCCTCTGCCTCTCTGAGCCCTAACGTGCATTCTTAAAGAACAGACATTTATACTAGCAAATATTGGTTGTCATGTAACCTAAAAGGTTCCAATAACTGTTTTTTTTTTTAATGAACCAAAATGTCGGGCCGATATAAGGCCCAAGACTTGTTGTCAAAAATTGAAAAACGAAACGAGATCGATGAACGAAGGCCCGATCACTATTATGAATCTTGCTTCAAAGTGTGAAATGGGCCTGGGTGAAAAGAGGAGAGAAGTAAGCCCATGAAATCCCCAAGAAATTTAGGATAAAAATATTGAGGAAAAAAAATTGGATAAAAAATAAACTGTTTAATTAGCTGATATGTTTAGGACCAAAAGAAGTAGTATTTTTTAAAAATAAAATTTTTAAATGATTTATCCTTTTACCCTAAACAAAGCACTATCTCCATTCTTGCATGCCTTTATAATACTTCCTCACGTGTTATATGTAGAAGTTAAATAATTTGTGAGTATTAAGAAAATTTAAGTGTTTGTAAAGATATATTAATTTTCTTAAAATGCCCCTTTAATATACACAATGAATAAAGATATTTAAAAAAAATTATAAATTTGAGAAATAAAAATATTAATATCTTAAACTTACAACTAAAGCATACGTAACAAAAATATGGAGGAAAGGGAAAAAATGACAGTCCAGACTAGTTTGTTGTAATTGAAGTGAAAACGCACCAATATGCAAATTTCAAATGTGTGTGACTGTATGCACAGATGCAAGGCGGGGATTCCTCTCGTGAAAACGTATTGGATCAATTTATAGCCCAGAGAGAGAGCCCATATCAATAGTAAGTACAGGCCCAAACATTGACAAATATTTGCCAAGGTGATGGCCCTAGAAGAAGCCCACTGAGACCCATTCTCTCTCCCTTTTAACTAAATTCCTACTATCTCATGTCTTTAATATAGAAACTAGTTTAATATTTAATTTAATTCTAAATATAAGATTTTAATTTCACTTTGTATTTTATATTTATTCATTTTTTTCTAAGATAGCCATTGTGATAGTTGTACATATTAAAAGGTTTCAACAAATAATAATTCTAATTAATACATATAATTAGTGAGGATATTTTAAGAAAAATAATACCAATTTATCACAAATAACTAACTTACTAATTTTTTTAATCTATTCAAATTAGTCAATTAACTCTTCCATTAACGATCGGATGTAGTATTTAAAAAAAAGTTAATAAGGACGTGTATTGTCTTTGCCAAGAAGTTTTATTTATGAATAATATTTAGATCAAGTGTTCTATATTTATTATGGCAAATGCTCCAACTAAGCACGGTCATGTGTCCTATTTTTCTCGTATCGATTTTAACAAGACGATAATATTTAAGTATTACCTTTTACTTGTTTATTTTAGCTGCACTATAACGATGGGTTTTTTCATATATCCTCATATTGGATAAAATAGTTAACTAAACGATTCAGAGATTAGGTTATTTTCGTATATCTGCATATTGTTCCACAAATTAATGGATAATTTGAATATGGATACCAGAAAAGTACAGGTAAAAAAAAAATAGTGAAAACTTGTATGGCCCGGTTGGATGGGACTGAATTCATATTCCACCACATATACGACTGATTAATCGTTTTTTAATCAAGAATAAAGTAATCATTTTGACCAAATTTTAAAAAAAAAAAAAGATAAAGTAATAACTCACATCTCAGTAGAGTCTAGAAATAACAGAGAGACTACTTGACAGAGTGTGCGTAAACGAACAACCAAATTAAAAGACGTAATAATGATGCTTCCATATATGTACAAAATGTCTTCATAAATTCACAAAATACTACCTCCTCTTCTGGATATAAAATCTAACTTATAGTGTAAATCTTTATATCTAGAATACGAGTTAGTAATAAAAAGCAACTCCACCAAATTATGAGGCTCATGATGATGATTTGCTTGTTATGGGTTGATGAGTGGTCATTGTCTTTTCCATATGATTTTAATCGAATCTGATATACCATGTGATTATAGAATATATCTGCAAAGGTCAAGGAAACACACTTTTTTGACTTAATTGCTTGTCTGATTTCGTCTTTGAACATTTTTAACACTGTTTGAACATATTAAATTAATGTTACTCTTCATAACAAAATATTTTAAATAGCCAGTAGTTATGAGAATTATATTTGTTCATGAAATAACATAAAAATATGGCTTTTTAATTGAAGAGTTATTTTACTTCAGGAAGTATCACTTCAAGGTCTACACACACACACACACCACATCTATTATCACTGTGGATTTTATTTTTCTTGTTTTTTTTTTTGCCATCATATTTTTGCATTGATTTAAGTATTTATTAACATCATAAATGAACCTAGTCTTTTAATAAATTTATGAGTTATCTATTCATTACATTTCATTGGTCGCTCGGAAATTAAATATAAAATAAACTTATGGTAAATAGTGGCACTTGATTAATCTTCAACAGAGAGGCAAATTAATAAGGGGCCCCATGATGCCATTCATCAAAGGGCTGTTTGGTCCTGTCATTTTGTGGACGTGGACGTGGTTTGATTGGACAAGGTGTTGGTTTAAGATTGGCTGTGGCTGAACTCTTGAGTTTTTGTCCGCTGCGAAGAAATAGTAGTAATTTTTATTTTTAATTAACCTAGAGAAAGGAACATATTTGGCATTATCTGTTATCACTAAATTTCTTGGTCCAATAATATAATGTAATTACCACCAATTAATAAGGAAACCAATAGACATACTGCAATGTGCTGTGATCATCAAATTGTTCTTTACTTGAAGCCCACCTAGCGGCAGGTTAAAGCTGGCTAGGTCCAAAGTTAAGACTCGCTGTTGAATATGCTTATTCCATTATTTTCCAACGTCTTATCAGAATCGAGATCGCAACATATTTTATAAGAGAAATGCCATATAATCAAATTTAAGCCTCTGATTTGTTTAACTTTTATTTAACTCCTAAATATATATAAAATTTCAATTTATTTTATCTTTCATATTTATTTATTTTTTTAAAATAATCCTTGTATTAATAGTAATTTTAACTAATACATTTAATTAACAAAAGATATTTTAAGAAAAACAACACATATTTATTATAGATAACTAACTTAATTAGTTTTTTTAATATACTCAAATTAGTTAACAAACTCTTATATTAACAACCAGAGATAGTATTTAGCATGCGCCTCAATCTCTTCGATTAGAACAGCTTTCTAATAGCCATTACTTGCATTAAATTTGTTTGCAGGATTTTTTGCCCTTTGTCACGTATCAAGGAAGTTGATGCTGTGTTGTTCTTTACAAATGGTAAGGTTATAATATCATAATATTTTGTGTGAAACGTGGTAATTCCGACCAAAAAGAAAATAACATATAGACGAAGTCACACACACATGTATGTATATGTATGAAGTGTCGACAGATACTGTATAAA